AGTTTTTAATATCATTCACTCAACACAACTCAATATTGTATTCATTGCCGTATTTTATATCTTGTATTCTTAATATATGCGGTGTTTTATGATTTGAATAAATTTTTATACAAACCAAACGACTTGTTAAGGCTTTAGTTCAATCACTGTATTGTCACAAAACTGTCCATCGATTGCAACTATGGTTAATGTATAGAGATATTGAAAGTAAACATTTTCTAAACTTGATCTGTAGTTCATTGCTATTCTATGTCTCGATTCTGTCTATTGGAACACTATTTGCATACATTTGCTCTAAACTTATCATTTGTTGTGACTTTGATTTAAGTTTTGAATATACTTATGATGTAAGCTATAAAAGAAGAAAAGTGCGAAACCACTAAAAAATGCGTTTTTAGCGCACAATTTAATAGACACATTGAAACATTTCAATTATGTAATGAGTGATAAACTGTTTACATAATATTATGGTAATTCCAATAGTTTTTTAACCACAATTCAGTATGAATAATGTGGTTTATAGGATCGTTCGGTCCCCCCTCCCTCGCCCCCTCCCGTTCTATGGGATTTAACATGGGATTCCAGCTTAAGTCTATGACATAAGATTAACATCGGAAAGCTCTCATAGGATTAACATGGGGACGCTTTAAGATGGGTTTCTATGGGATTAAAGCTTAAGTCTATGGCAAAGGGATAACATGGATAATGCTAATCCTATGGACAATGTTAAATCTATGGCAATGCTTAATCTATGGTCTTCATGGGTACTAATGCTAATCCTATGTACTCGTATTAAATTTATAGATAGTTCTAATCTATTCTTTGAGCACTACCCGAATTGTGGTGAACGTATAGCATCGCTGTGTGATCCTTGTTGTTTTAATCAATTGTTTTGTATATTTTTTACTTTTAGCTATTTTTATGAAAAATTATCCACTCATTAGAATCGATTTGTTCATACAGTGCAACCTCCAATTGCACGGCAAAAGTGTTTCTTATAAGTTAGGAGTGTTTCTCCAGGCAGGTTCGTATGTTTTCTATGGTCATAATTAACGGTTTCAGTTTCTTTTAAGTTAAACTAATAACAAATATATATTTATTGTTTGTTTTCAGTATTAGTTTTGAAAATATGCCTCAAATCAAATCAAACTTTATTGAATCTCTATTAACAAAATGCTGTTTTACATAGAAATCAGTTATAAAAATATAATTTAAAATTAATTCTAAAATTTGTATAAAAGATAGTTATTATTAGTTAACCGAAAATCATTTGTCTTTTGTGCGATTAAATGAATCTCTTTTAAAATCTTTGATTTTGTTTTGCCATTTTATCCACTTTTGGATCTTTTTCTATGATAACAATCGCCTTCTTCTTGAGTTTTTAATCACTTTTTGGCACATCTTCGCCGTCATCGGCGGTCACGTCAGACAATAACATCGATTCATTCAGAATCTCATTCAGACTAAAGTCATTCAAATCATTGACAATCAGCTGTTGATTCTCGAGATCTTGAGAATCGCATTGTTTGTCAATTGATGGACAATGCCATTGATTTAATGGTTTGTCTTCGAGTCTTTGAAGGGAGACATCAAGTGGTCGACAGGCAATAGCAGTCAGACGTCACCTCCATTGCAATGCCGTCTCTCTTCTCAACATCTGTTACATACGTTGTCTTCGAGTGAAGCAATAATTCATTTCGACTCAACTCTTGTCTCAATTCCCAGTCCTTTGACACCATCTCTAATAGAGATTCTCTATATTCTTCGGCTATTCATTATAACGATTGCCCGACGAATGGGACATCAATACCTCATTCTTCGGGTATTCTATTGGAGACCACTTCGTCTCCTCTCCTGAAGAATGTCCACTAATGTGAAGAGTTTTGGCCAAAGACTGAGACAATTGTGACGTAATTCAAGTTTGGACACGAATTTCAAGAGTCATTGCTCTTGAGTCAACTCTTAGGCTTTGTTTTAGGCGTAAGTCTCGGTCCGAGTGTTTGCTTCCGTTTGCGAACCCTTTTGACGATACTATTTGTGACAATCGATTGATGCGATAATTGATTGACTTTTTTGATGCACTTTTTGTCGGCAACTGAGACACCGATTGTGTTCACTATTCTTAAGGGAAACGTCTGTTTCAACGATTCCTTTGGTTTGTCCGCCAATTTTTGTCTCGAAATCAAATTCAAGTCCCCATGAATTCCGGTATTTCAGTAGAATTGCTGTCACTTTCAACGTGTTCTTCAGTTTGAAAACTGTCGCCCACTTCTGGCCATTGGAGAGGACGTCGACCGGGCGGCTACTGAAAGCGGTACTCGTATTGGTTGAAGACATACTGTCGGTCTCCGCGGCATTTTGCACAGTTTTGCGTCAAAGCACCGGTTATTCGCGTTTTGGCCGAAGTGCTGTAACTGTCCATAAGTTATGGACCATAACTCAACACACAATGATTTGAAAGACAATTTCAGCCAAACTTCGAAATTAAACGTTTTTGTTTGCAATAAATGCGCCAAATATTGTTATTATTTTGTAAAATGTTTGTTAGTTTTTATAAAGACTGCTAATTTTGCCTAAATTTCTATAAATTCGTTTCCAATGGGGAGATATTTCTTATGAAGACGTTTCCCTAAAAGAAGTTGCATTAATATTATAAGTATAGGAAATCAAACCAATATTTCAAAACCTTTTCTTATGATGTGTTTCCCCGAGAGAACGAGTTATTCTATACCTTTGAATAGCGTTGTGTTAATTAGTAAAATAGTATAATTATTTGATTATTGTGTTGAACGAAGTGATGGTTCGGTCGGACCTTCTCTAAGAAAGACTGGATTCTGGAACCAATCTGAAGACTCGAGACTCGGAACAGGTTCAGTGAACCGCACCTGACATCAGCCCTACCAACACATCAATTCCGGTCATAATTATAACATATTTATTGTACACTAACTTATTGTTAGACAATTTGATGGACAGTTAGGCAAATGTGTGACAACTGTTAACAATACCAGGAATTTCTATTCTAATCAATAATTGATAAAATTTATTCATATATTAATAACTTTTTTGTAGTGAATTTGTTATGATTTACACTATTTTCATATTTTTATCCTTCATTTATTGATTTACGAATGATTAGCGAAAATAAATTTATTCTAAAATTAAAATAACTATTTATAAACTTTTTTTTACGACAAGTTTGTGTAAAATTCAATGACAAAAGTTTGCGCAAAAAGTCAATGCCATTCACTCTCACAGCGATGGCAATGATAGAGAGATTGTGGGATGAGATGAATGGCTAATCAAATGGACATCAATTTTGAAGCCATATTATAGCACATAATATGCAAAATTAAAACATAATTAAAATGTAATTACAATTAAAAACATTCATAATTATAATGTTGTCGACAATGTATGACATAATTGATGGGCCAATCATATGATGTCTGTGAGTGCTGTACAGTTAGGCCACGCCTTTCAGCAAACATTCAATTAAAAACACAATTTCGCTGTCATTTGATTTCAATAGTAATCCTGATTTGAATTACACTTTGTTTTGATTCACACGTGAATTGATTTAACGATAGATTCAATTGAATGAAACATTAATGTAAATCGTGTGACCATTTTATGAGCCCATTATCACCTCGTGTTATGTCAGACCCGACGCTAAGACAACGTAATCCAGGAATCGCTCAACAATTCAATGTATTTATGGTTTAGTTTTTGTTGTTTTCACTTTTCATTTGGTTTTCAATTAAAGCATTTGTTTTGTATTTTTGTTCATTAATTTTGGATTAGTTTCTGGTTTTGTATTCATTTTAAACGACTATTTGTTTGATATGTTTTAGAAACAATTTTTCCCGTTTTTCGACAATTTTTTTTCCTTATTTTGTTCATTGAATTAATTTTTGCTTTTAATTGAAATATAAATAATTGATTGAAATATGATTTTTCTATAATAAGCCACAAAAGCCTTTACTATGAATGCTATAAATTTTTAATATTAAATGTCATTCAAAATGTGTATCAAGTTTTTCATTGATTGACATATTGTTTGCAATGAATATAATTATAATTTATAATTATCTCAACACCGATAGAGTGGTGCAAAAGATGGAGACCAGAGGCCAACGCACGCACCCCTCCGACGGATGAGCTCTGAAGGCATTGATTCCGAAGACGACAAACTTATAGACGAGACAAACATCGGAGAGATGACCAAAAAATTGCCGCAATCGACGGATCAGATCAGTGTTGTCTTAGACTTCCTTCCGGCCAAGTATTCACTCGTATATTGTTTTAAGTGTTTTTATATTTAATTAATTTTTTTGTTGATTAAATGAATGGATGTAAAGATGGCGTAATTATGTGGTCAGAAGTATATTCACATGTCTTATGGTCAGCGGGTTTTGTCTAATCATATATTTGGGTCCATTGGCCCTCATGTTTACCGTATGTATACATATATAGTGCTGAATAAAATCATATTTAAATTTCTATAAACAAGTTTTAAAACTAAATATTGGTTTTATGTCTGTCTCTGAAGACTCTTGTGGTTCAAGTAAAGTGTTTTCAAGAGATAATAGCCATCGGTTATAGTGTGTATCGTTTGCATAACCTTCCGTGGTTTAGATCCTTGTCGTGGTATTTGTTAATCTCTTCTAATTATTTCTTTTATGGCGAAAGTCTTGTTGATTACTTCGGTCTCGTTCTCCACCGGACGGCAAGTATTTGTTTATTTATGTTTTGCGGAAATGTTTTTGATATAAATGAAGTCAATATATATATATATAATAAGTTTGTTTATTGTTGTAATGATATCAACAATTTGCAAACGAAACCACATTTTTTAAGATAAACATTAAATTTTTACCTATTAATTGAGTTCATGTACAGAAACACAACAATTATTGAGGCTTTAATCGGTTTTTTTGCTTATCATTTAAACACAAATAATATCAGTATTCAGTAAACTCTTTCTTGTGGTCTATTTTGAATACATTTGCGATTGAATTCTTAATTCTGTATTAAGACTGAAAATATTTTACAAATGTATTATTCGTACGAATATTGATATTGAAAATTAGATTCTGTAACAATTAACTCAATATATCTATTTTGTTAGTAACTAACATGGGCATAAAAGCCAATAGAGATTCAGAGTCTAATTATTCAAATATGATTCAATGATTGATTGGCAAATTTGAAAATTCAAGCCAGCTCATTATTTCTTGTGGTCTATTTTGAATACATTTGCGATTGAATTCTTAATTCTGTATTAAGACTGAAAATATTTTACAAATGTATTATTCGTACGAATATTGATATTGAAAATTAGATTCTGTAACAATTAATACCAATCTATGTAGAAGTTGCTATAATTATACGTTACAATAGATTTTTTTAATACACGAATTTATTTGAATATGATTTAATTGCCTTAAGCTTTAAAGAATCTACGAGTTTGTAGAATATATTAAGCAATTTGTAGGTATTTTTATTATGGTTAATCATATATCAAATAATGTAGTCACATTTTATTCAAATAGCATATTGGCCAATTTTTATTTTTATTTGTTGCGAATTAAAAATATTAATTTTAAACAATTTTGAATTAAATGATGATTTTTATGATGTATAGAATTTTATGCGACCACTCGTCACATACCATCGATTTATATCGTTTTCTCTCTATTTAATTGGATTCGTTTGGTTTGTCTTAAGTCTAACAAAGAATTACTATATGAGACAATTCTCACTGGTATTGAAATGTGATTATATAAGTGTTTGATGTATTAATGCAACTCGTATTGTGTTATATTAGTTTGCGTGGACTCACGTAACACTGCTAATAGTGGTGACCCAATCGTATTTGATTCTGCAGAACATGTTTGAGGGACTCATTTGGTTTATAGTTCCCGTTTCGATGATTGTAATCAACGACGTTATGGCATATTTGTGCGGATTCTTCTTCGGGAGGACACCACTCATCAAACTCTCGCCAAAGAAGACATGGGAGGGCTTTATAGGCGGCGGTGTTCTCACTGTTATTCTTGGAATGATTGTAAGAATAATTTTTGCGATTATAATGATTATAATTATAAACCAACAGTTGTTTGATATTTAACTGAAATATTTTGATTGAATAGTTTTCGCATGTGTTGTGTCAATACAAATACTTTGTTTGTCCGATTGAATACTCGGAGGACTTGGAGAGGACGACAATGGATTGTATACCGACTTCGCTATTCATGTTGACTGAATACCACTTACCGTCTGAATTGATATACATTAACAAACTATTGCCGGTATTTTGTTTTATTACTGATTTTGCCGTTAACTGTATTAAGTGATTATCAATTGACAGATAAAGATCCCGTTGACGGTAACGATGTATCCGTTTGTATTGCATTCGCTGTCGCTATCGCTGTTCAGTTCAATAATCGCGCCGTTCGGCGGATTCTTCGCGAGCGGTTTCAAGAGAGCGTTTAAGATCAAGGATTTCGGAGACATAATCCCCGGTCACGGAGGGATTGTGGACCGCTTCGACTGCCAGTACCTGATGGCCACATTCGTCAACGTTTACATTTCCAGTTTCATACGCGCGCCCAACGCGACCAAACTCTTTCAACTCATCCTAAGGCTTAAGACCGACGAACAGTTTAAATTATACCAACTATTGAGCGATCACTTGAATTCTACCAATTTTTTGAATTCATTTTGAAATCGTTGAATCATTTATTGTTTTTCGTTTATTTTGAACAAAGATTTAATTTTTTATTATTTTTGGTATATATGCAGACCTTTTTTATTACTTTTTACCACATTATTCTCTCATTATTTAAATTTGATTTCATTTATTTCAACAAATTTATTGGAAATTCGTGTTAAGAATCAACAAATATATTATATACACGTTAAGACCCGATATTAATCCAGGATTATGTCTATCCGTTAATTATGATCAACCAATGGCTTCTATTATTGATATTTATTGCATAACTAGTCTTATAGTCTGTGTTAATGAGAAAACTATAAAATCAATTAAATGTTTTTGACATTAGGTATAAACGTAGCATTAAATTAAAATTGTAACTAAATTTAAATTATCGTTTCATTGATTTTATAGTTAAATATAGCGTCAAAAATAATGAAAGCCTTATTCTATGTTAAGAATAATTGTTATTTTATGTTAAAATTGATTTTATAATTAGTTATTAAATTAAATTTTTGTGTTTACGATTAATTGTGAATCGATTTTTCCAGTGTCCGCAATAATTGCATCCGAGATTGTATTGTTATTTCTCAATCAATAATCGCATAATTAAATTAACACTTGAAATACTTATTAATCAAATAATAAGTGAAATGACATTTAAATTATTGATCTCTTCAAACAATATATACTTCAATGTATTAATAGATTAGTTTAAATTACACTCAATATCATAATCAGTCACCAATTGATGTGCATTTCATTAGTAAATGTCCCGAAAGTAATTGTTTCCTTGTTTTTGCCAAACACTCGCTTTTGATGTTAATATTTAAACCAAAAAAGTGAGACATTAATCAATCCATTGTTTAACATATAAAAAATATATATCAATTTGTTTCAATTATTAAGAAAAAACTATTTACTTATTATTTATAGTTTTTGTTTGTTATCTGTATTTAATTCCTATTTATTATATAATTCTAATGATTATACATATTCTCCACAATAATTGAATTTAATAAAAGATTATATATTATTATTATTTACAATAATTGTCTAATTCATTGATTTCTAAACTAAATTAATTGTTGCTTTTGTGGCAAATTGTTTTGAAAAGTCGGTCTTAAAATTTAGATGATTAACAAAAAGGATATTTTCATGAAAATAGATTAAATAATTATTAATTACAATTAAAAGTATATAAATAATCAATTAGATACAAGTAATTATTATTTTATTTAAAATCATTTTGAACTCGTTTATTGCTCAGAATTTCAAACCACAATTAGACAACATGTCTACAAACAATTTAGATTCTAGATTCTAGATATACAGTATATACAGTATAGTATGTTTTATTGTCTTCGAGATGGCATAGCGTGTTCTATAGAGTTGTTCAACTAATGTGTAGAATATACAGAATTAATTGTATAAGAAATTAATAATTTGATATAAAAGTAAAACCATTTGAAATCTATGTTAATTCATAATTTGGTGTCAAATGACAGGAACAGGCGATTGGGAGCCGAAAAATATCCAAATGAATGCCTTTGTCTGGAGTCCAGGCCAACAGCCGCTCATTGCCGTACTTTTGAATGCATTCAGATATATAATAATTGGGAGTAAAACTGCATTTAATTTTTTCGTATCTAAAATAATTGGATAAATAATAAATGATTACAAATAGTTATAGTAGACAATAATAAACGGGTGATTCCTTACTGGCATTCTTCAAGCCTTATGTGTTGTTTCACATCAATTCCTCTGTAAGACTCATTCAAATTGAGAATCACTTTCCAAAGCCCTTCTGTATTCTGCGCTCGCTTTGGCTGAATGTAATCCACAAGTGATGGACAAATATAACCGCCGTTTGTGTACTGAATCTCATTATTATCAGTATTTTTGTCATCATTTTGGTCGTCGTTTAGCATATGATTTACATTTTCACTATAAGTGTAATTCTCGTCCCTTTCTTTCGATATTCCTTCGACTAAATCAAACGTTTCCGACGATTCGGGCATTATTTGAGTCAAAAGATCCATTTGTTTGTCAATTGATTTTTGAATCCAGTTTCTAAAAACACAATTTATAAATATTTGGTTTATAAATATTGAATAAAATGTTTGATAAATACTGGGGATAATTGTCGTCATAATCGCAAAATGTATGTTCAGAAGCGCACTCCGGAGTCATCTCTTCCTTATAGCTGTTGTATAATTTGTTAAACAATTAATTTTTTAGACAAATATTTATATAATCTATTATTTGTCACTCACTTATAGTCAGCGCTCTCTTCGATGGGCTCTTCATTTTTGTCATCCGATTCATCATTTGTGTCAAAATCATTGAAATCTTGCTCTAATTCATTATAATCCGCGACATATTTATTGTTGTTATTATCGTCACTATTATTATCGTCATCTTTTACCTCTAATTAATTATTTCATTTGTATATTAATTATTCGGCTTATTATGAATATGAGTCAAATATACCTGCATTTGGTTGAGAATCAAAATCGGACTCATTTTTGTCGTCCGAATTGACGTCTGAGTCGGAAATGAGATAATTATTCCTATATTTAGGTCTTTTAACACTTTCTGCATATGAATGAGGTTTTGGTATAATTTTCTGCTTTGAATACTTTCTGATACTAGGCTTAGGATCGCTGCTATCGTCTAAAGTTTTCAATTCATTATATCGTTTAGAAATGTCGTCTGAATTCTTGTATAAATCAGATTTTAATTCTAAATAAATTTTTTGATTATTTTTACTCAATTCTTGCTCTTTATTCTCACTATAATTATCGATAAATTTATGATTAGGTATAGAATTGGCAGAAACTGCTGGAAACGGATGCAAAGGTGTCGACCCATTCATTAATTGATTGGCAACTCTGAAGATCTGTAGACCCAATAACTGAATGTGAAATTTTTGTTTAAAATATAGTTTATTATTCATTAATATTTGTTCAAATATAATTTCTACAAAGTAACATTAATTAAATATCAACAATATAATAAAATCTATTCTTGCTATTATCTAAAATAATTATAATAATGAATTCATACTTACGATAATCATTTTTAATGCTTATCCAACACAAAACATAATTGAATTAATATTTTAATCTTGATAAAAATAATATTTAGAAATTCAATTACATTATGAGTGCATTTGAGTACAACTTTATTGTCAAGTATTTGCCATAAGTATAATCCGGTAAAAAACACACAAAATAAATACTTGAGACAAATTCGAGCACTAATTGAGTTGTGTTTAAAATTTATTCATTCAAAACACGGCAAATAAATCATAACCTCTTTTAGGCCTCAAACCCTTCTCATTAAAACTTCCTCCAAATTTTGACATTTTATTTATTCCTATAAAACACACAAAGATATTTGCATTTTTCAAAAGAAGCTCAAAAGTAAAACAAACAAAATAAAAGAAAATAAATTTGTATTAATTTTAATGCACATGTGATCTGTGATCGAAAGCGTATAATTATCAGAAGCCAAGCGAAACCAAATTGAAAAAACACTTACATTTTTTGTTTAATTTTTTAATTTTGTTTTTAATTGAAAAATTCGTGCCTTAAAACCTAAAAGCGTATTATAAATTCATATTCAAAGTAATCGTATAATATATTATACAGTATTGAGAGTCAGTCTTGCATTTCACTGGAAATCTTTATTTTTATATTTATAAAAAATTTTAGATTATTTGTATAAAGCGGAAAAGTGTTAACAAATTATTTGTGTGTTTATATTATGTCAAAGTTGTACCAAATCTGTGACAAAAAGTCCATTATATTATTTAAAGTATTGAATAATAATTATATGTTGTAAAATCTAATACATGTCTTATTGGTGTCATCCAAAGTCAAACAAAATTTTTCTTTATTATAATATTTGATTAATTTTTATAATGATTTTATAGATCTTACGACTGAAACACACAAAAAAATTATTATTATATATTATTTGCTTCACTATTAATTCTAATTTGATTATTTCAGTTCATTACACGCTAATAAATTTATTAACACGCTTTCAAGCAATTTATTAATAGATTGATAATTTTATTACCAATTTCTAAGCATGATATTTGTAAATTATATTTCATATTATAAATCAAATTATTATAAAATATAATTTTATAATTTAACATAAATAATATAAAGATTCTTTACATTAATAATAAATTTGTAATTTAAACCAGTTGCATATTTAGTTTATAATAAATGTATATAAATTTGTGTGATGGTCATAAATATATATACTATATAATAATTATACGAACAGATTTACTGTTGCGAAAGAATATAAGAATTACTGTTAACTGAGTGTAACTTTACTCCAGAATTGGAAAAGTAATAAAAAATGAGTTTTGTTTTCAACAGAATTCTTGAGATTTATAAAGTATATCAGTATTCAGTTAATACTGTTTACAGTTATAACTTATATTGAAGAGTAAATCTTAAATAATATTTGTTTTGATAGCATTACAGTCGCAGGCATTTGGTATATGAAACAAATCGATTTCAAAGCCATCGCTGAACACATTATATGTAATCAATTGATTGACTGTATATTTTTGGACACATTTTGATGAAAGCTTCGGTCCGATTGGTTGGCATTCATTTTGTTGATTACTGTTTGAAGAGAGAGAGAGAGAGAGAGAGAGAGAGAGAGAGAGAGAGAAGCAAAAAATACATAAATAATTAAAGTTTTAATCACAACAAGAATTTCGATGTGCAAACATCGAGAGTGAGAGCGACTTTTTTTAGTGATAGTACAGACTCTGTACTCCAACAAGTCGTAAGTCTTGGTTATATATTTACCTGCATTTCATGAGATTTATTTTTTGCATCAAAAAGCTTTTGGATTGAGTGATGACTTTCCAGTCGCCCCTTATATTCTTAGCTCTGAGCGGATATATTGTAAACGTCTGTACACTACAGGAGCCCTTTAATGGATGGCTTGAGTTGTGTTCAGAGTTCTCCTCATCATTAGTTTGAGTGGAATTGAGTTTTGCAACCATTGATCGCAAACTTTCTCTATTATTGACTGACTTTCTGGCAATCAATTCACTGAAAAACGATCGAAACAATTATATATTACTTATATTCAAGACGCTAGGACTTAATGTAATTAACTCAGAATTAATGTAAAGATTTTTCCTGATATAGTATTGTATATGAAATCTATGAGATATATTGACTTACTGTGGATATTCATCATCGAAATCATAGCAGAAATTGTCAATTGGACTCATTTGAGAGCATTTCGGTTCATTTATTTTGTCCTCATTTGAAATCAAAGACAATCCATCTCTTAATGTGGAGTAAATATTTGGCAAAATATTTTGTGAACTGTTTGAGCGATTCTGCAGTAAATGATTATTGTTTTGATCACTTAATAAATCATCGCTTTTACGCTCTTCTTCTTGTGGTACAGATCTTTGCGGACGATTCCTAAAACTTTTTGCCGGAAGTTGTGTTACGTTATTATCATTTGATTGATTATCACTTACTCTCATGTGATATACATATGAATTATTCAAGTCTTTAATTAAGTCATAAATATTATTTTTGTGCAAAACGTTTTGCATATTTGACTTTTCTTTTGATTTTAGTTTCTTAATAGGCTTTACGTTCTGTTTATTCATTTGCTTTCTCTTCACCGATGATAACTTAAATCCATTTGTTTTGCCTTTATTTGGTTTTACATCAGCTATTGTTAAGTTATTGTTCACATTCTTGTCGCTCGTACTTTCAATAACTATTGTTTTTAAACCAATTGGTTTAGAATTACTCCACGAATTGAATGAATCAATTGATTTGATTTCTATTGTGTTATTCTTTGGTAAAGGATTTTCATTAGCCGTTGAATTGATTCGCGTTGTAATCTTCATTGTCTTGTCCGTAGACAGAGATTCGTTATTATGATGTGATTTCTTGACGGCCTGGACATCAGTTCCAGCCGTGTCTTCGTCGTGATGTTGGGCTTGTCTTTGCCATTGAGGCGACGATCTGTACTGTTGTTGGTTTGGGTATTGATTAT